CAATATTTTTTTCGTATATAATCCCAAATTTCATGCTTTATTATCAAATAAAAAAAATAAAAGCTAAATATTGAGCGTAATTTTTTTTAATCTTTCCATGCTGAAAATGTATAACCCTGTATATCAAACATTTTCTTCGATGTTAGTAATACAATTTTTACTCATGTACATACATATGTGTGTATGTATGTAAAATCTTAAAAATATTAATTAGATTCATTGTGCATTGTGAAAGTCAAGAAACCTTATGCCTTCACATTTTGCCACAACCTTCTTCTTCTTGCCTCCCACCTTACAAACTTCATGAGCCTCTGCTATATACCAGTAATCTACATATGTACATATATGTATATTCACCATTTAGCAACTTAATTATAGACTCGCATGCCAACACAAACGAAATCAAAACTTAGCAGTCAAAACAAAATTGCTGACGGTCGCCATAGTAATCCTTGGCCATAAAAGGGGCATAAACAAACAAACAAAAATGAATGCCAACATTCCATCATGCCACTAAAGGAGAGAAGAAACAAGGCAAAAATAAAATACTTGATAACCCAATTAGAAGCGCTATGACTGCAAGGAAAATCAATATTTGTTGCAGAACCAAAGAAAAAAGTTTATGGAAAAATTTGCTAGCTGTAGGTACAGGGAATGTACAAGCAACAACTACAGTTTGTAGTCGAAATAAAGGCTTATGGAAATACATACATATGTATGTAGTTTGGTTGCCCAGAGCGCGTAAAAATAAAATAAATACTAAATACAGGAGAAGGCGCGAAATAATGAACTATGTATTTCTTGGAGGCAAGTAATGATTAAGGCGGTAAACGCGCGCAAACTCAAGCATTAGCAACCGTAATAAAAAAAAAGCTTCTACTGTTTACATACTTATAACAGACAGTATAAGAACTAATTGTAAGAGTATACAACATGCAAATACATACATACATCATAAATACGTAGCCAGATATATATGTATACATTTATCTACTCGAAAATTTATGTACATACATATGTACATATTTATGCTTCCTTGAATCCACAACGCTATTAAAAAAAACTGCATATTACAAGTGAGCAACATGAATTTTTCGGGCCCAGAAGAACTATACAAATATCAAGAAGACTACGCCAAACGATGATACGCCGCCACCCATAAGCAGCATTTCCCCAAACTATACGAAAAATATGTATACACAATCATGCAGACAGACATCCACATTTGCACCTTACGGCATACACAGACGTATGAGTACACATCGTCTGCTAGTCACTACTATAAGGCCTTCCCGAATACGAGTAAGGCACGGTGCAGATTAGAGCGATACGATACGCGATACCATATGTGTTGTGATAGCAAATCGTGCCGCTCGGCCGATACGCAAGCGATATTACATACATATGTATGTCGGCGCAGTGTAGCTGTCGTGCAAGTGTGCACATTTTTCATCGCTTTCTACCAATTCCCGCATACTCAGCATGTCGATGTCGCTTTCATATCGTATCGCGTATCGTATCGCTCGAATGTGCACCAAGCCTAACACTGCATTCATCAGCCTAAAATTTAAGCCACAATTGTTGCGTGCAAGTAGACTGCTTTTGCTATTAATTTTTTTATGTATGTATGTAAGTGGAGTGGTGTTTTGTTGTTGCTTGTGGTAAATATGTAACTGCTGCTTCAATTGAAAGCACTTAATAGACATTTACAACAAATTTTCATACAGTATATTTATATATATGTATATATAACTTTAGTTTATGTACAAAATGCTAGCTGCAGCAATCCAAAAGGGTGGGGGCAGGGCAAAATAGTACTGAAAAAGGTGTACGTATGAAGTTCAATGGGATGTATGTATATATGTATGTATGTATTACGATTGAAGCGATTAAAACGCACGCACATGTAGTAGCTGTGGCTGTTGTTTTTTTTTATAGTGGTTGTAATTTTCAGCACTGTAGTCGCTTTTGTTTCGCTTATTTTATTCACAGTGCGGTCGATCGCGTCGGTTTGCATGACTCATGCGAACCGCGTGTAATATTTATTGCGTTTCTTTGAAATAAAAAAAAACACACAAAATATATATACATAGATAAGTGTGTACATGTGAAGAAAAAGTAAAAAAAAAAATTAACAAAGCATAACATAACAACAGTAATTACAACAAGTCAGCCACGTTCTTGTAAAATTGTTTGTACGCAAATACGCGTCAGATTTCAGTTGCTGCGGTTTTACATACATATGTATATATGTACATATGTTTGTGCGTAAGCATATGACTCTTTTGCTATAGTTATTACTTACTTTGCTTTTCTACGCTTTTTCTTTTCCGCTTTCTAGTTCGGAGGCAGCAGCCAAACAAGCCCCCAAAATGTTTAGCGCAGTCGTACGTACATTTGCTAGAAGGTTTCGAACAAAAAACTCTATGTAGAATTTCGACCTAAAAATCTCTGAACAGCCTTTTCCACTTGAAAAATAAAATTAAAAACAAAATAATCAAAATTTTTGAAAATTGCACGTTTACCGATTTTTTGCATGGTGATCATTATTTTTGAACGCTGGGAGGCTATTGCTGAGAGCTTGCGTTACGTTGCTCAGGTGGTTTGTGGAATTGTCGCGTCTTGAAAACAGGGATGATTAACTCTTTTCTAACACGGTGGAACAGCTATTTTCGTTACTCAAACGTGAGTATTTATAAGTAGTAGTCCAACCCACAGTGAATGGCATTTCATCTAATCACAACTTTTTCTTTTAGGTACATAGATTTGAAGTTTTATCTTTTCGGTAAAAAAAAAATCTGCGACACCTAGTGTGCAGAAGATGTTGATATTTGTGACCCCTAATAAAATTCTTTGTAGAATATTTCAATCCTTTTACTGTAATTTTTTTAATACAAGTATTCGTACGCTAGCAAAAACACCAGAAAATACAATGGAGGGGTTTAAAGATGGACAAAGAAGTTGACTTGGGTGTCTATGTAGAAGGATTGCAGCTAAGGCAATCAGGCCTACTCCCAACCTCCTTCATTGGTCATAAAATAGGCTGCTTGTTTTGTACAAACTGGCAAGTTTCTGTCAGAGCTCCAAGGCTCATAAATGCCTTTCGCTGCTGGGCTTTCGATGTAGCTATATCGCAGTGAAGGAAATAGCCTATAGGACGGCAGCCTCTGTGATAGACAGCCTCCGATTTGTTAGCACTGAGGAAATTTTACTAACATAAATACATACAACAGCCATAAAAAATGGCCTATGACTCGTCATCTCAAGGCCTTTATGGCTGAGGCCTAACAAAAAAGTACTGAACACTTACGAACTTATTTTTTTGTATTTATTTAATTGTTTACAACTCAAAAAATCTCACCTTGTGCAAATATATTTTTTGCCAGTTGATGACACACTACTCAACTCCTGAAATTTCTGAAAAGTTCTACATATGAATGTACATACATAAATGTATATTTTTTTCCTTGCACATAAAACTCAACTCGAGGGCGAAAGAGACGTCAGCAAACATGCATTAACGAAATAATAGCAATAACAAGAAAAACAAAAAGCAATAAAAAGCTCGACATATTCACAAATCTTGACAAACGATCGCACACATTTGTGCTAAATTGAATTTACAAAAATTTCCTTTTTTTCTCGTATAAAAGTGAACAACATGGGCGGTTGAATATACATACTACATATTTAGTACGTTATGTGTGTATGTACATATGTATGTACACGCACGTTTTATACGATCAACAAAAAGGCATCAGAGGGCTTGAATGTGGTCAGTTTTCTAGCTGAAGCGTTAGACATATACAATAATTTACAGCAGTGATGAAAACTTATTTATAAAAATGAAGTACCCGTATTAAGTAATTTTTTTCCCCCTATACTGCTGGTATGCTGCAAATAAACAGAAATAAAAGTAAGAATAAGCACAGCTGATCGTTGCTGTATTTCGGCTCTTAAGGTCCGATAAAAAATATTTAGAACGTAAAAATGTAATTGAGGGCAAACAAACATACCCATAGATGTGTTATTTATGTACAGACGTACTAGACATGTATATTTGGATCAAAGTAAATTTGATTGTAAATTCATTTGTACGTGGGCGGAGCGGTTTAAGTATTACGAACGGATGAGCGCATAATAATTGTATCAATAAGTCTTATTAGTTCAGCAGCGCTAAATTGGGCGCGTGCGGCGTAAACCACATTCGCTCGCTTATTTTTATATAACTTAGTTCATGATATGTATGTATGTGTGTACAAATGAATAATACCTCTTTGCATAGTTTTCAGTAATAAGATCATTCATCAACAAGCTATTTTTTACAGATAATTAATTTTTTTTTTTCGAATAAATTTTTATTGAATGAGTTACTCAATTGCGTCGCAGTAATTTCCTTTTGCTGTTATATACAATTAAGAAGTTTTCAGAGATTTATCATATAGGTATTTAAATACATTATAAGTAATTTTATATTCTCTATATTCATCAGTTATACTTAACGCTCGTATCTTTTTCGAACAAAAAAAAACTATATTTCTGCGAAAAAATTTTGTTTCGCAGTATCTCCATTAAAAAACCACACATTTTGTTACAGTACAGTTATTTTTTGAAACAGTTCTTCAATAAAATAAAGTATCTCTTGGTAGTATGTGAACCGGTTTTATAACCCGCAACAAAATGATACGGTGAAAAGCCATGTAAATCCGAATTTCTAGCTTTCGAGTTGTAAGATTATAAATTAAATTTCCAGGAGAAAGCCGATACTTTCTAAATATGTACATTCTAAAATATATTTATTAACTATAATAATATATACATTAGTTATCCTTTTTGGAATTCAAATATATATCGAGCATTAGTCATATTTACTAAATAAATATTTTTATGTATTACTACTTTGAGTTGTTACTCTCTCCTGTATTTGAGAACATTTACGCACTTATTGCATAATTTTGGTAGTTAGCAAATATTAATACTTTTTTTTTCTTTCTTTACAGATATAGAAACTCATCCCGCGTCACCAGTTTTTCCCCATTTACTATTAGGCAATGGCAAAGATGCCAGCGATCCGAGTAGTGTCGGCGCCAATGCTGTTTTGAATGTTACCTGCCAAGCACCCAGCTCAGGACCAACGCCGGGACTTAAATATAAACAAATACCTGCCAGTGATACACCACATCAAAATATAAAACAATATTTTCAGGAAGCCTACGATTTTATTGGTGAGTAATTAGTAATGATATAAAAATAACAAAATGAGTGAATACAAATCGCGGACTGGTTTGCCTCCAGTCCAGGTTCAGTCCAGGTGCGCAAAGTTTGTGACTATATCATTGATTTTCTCTGCATAATTATGCCAACATCTGCATAAATAGCTATATCAGCCAGAAGCAAATCATATCCTGCGGGAGAAGCTTTCAAAAGCTCTCTGTAGATTTTATATGAACGCGCACAGAGTAAAAGCTCTCTCTGTGCATCACTGATTTGGACGCATACCTAGTGAAAGCTCTCTCTGACGCTCAATAATGTATGTATACTTATGTATATCACCTTGCGTCCAAAATATATCTAGCACCGAGGAAAAAAACGAGTTGAAAACTAAAATCTCAGAGCTATATAGCGAAAGCCAAATCTCAATAAACACTTACGGTAATGGTAATGGCGTTAGGCGTATGACACCAATAATCGTTCGAAAAAAATTGTACATACGATAATTTCGCGTGAAGGGGTCAATATTTTCATTGAAAAAATCTTTTTAAAAGAGTTTAATGAAATTTTTTAATTGAAATAAAAACTAGATAAACATATGTGTGTACAATGTACATACATACATACATACATACTTTTAAATTCAAAATTTATGTTTTTTTTTGTAAATGAAAGAAATTAAACTAAAACTTTTTTTTAACAAACTTAAATTATTTTTGTTAGTTAAATAAACAAACTTACAAAATTATTTTTGTTGAAAATAAAACTTAAAATATATGCATTATTCAGTCAGATATACATACATATATTTTATTTTTTACTTAAACAATTTGTTTATCTAAAAAAATTTAGTTACATAAAAAGAAATTTAAAAGGGAAATGTATATAGTATGTATGTTAGTTAAAATTAAATTTTATGTAACAATTTTAAAAACTTAAAATTTTTAATAATAAAATTACGCAAATTTAAAGATTTTTAATAGGAAACATGAAATTGCTTTAATATATTTACTGATTCAAAGAATATGAAAACTCTAGGTTGCTAAAGTAAGTAAAAATGTTAACAAAAATTTTAGTTACATATTTATTTTAAAATTTTTATGAAAGGCAGAGAAAATTTCACATTTGTAAAAAAGTTGTAATTATAATTTAACAGTGCCATCTGGTCACTTAAGAACCTAGAAAAATATTTTTTCATTATAATCTACAAAAATAATTCGTAAAAAAAACACATTTTTTAAATGTAGCTCGCTCGTAATCGTCGTATATACATACATTTGAGTTTATATGCAACCACAAATGTAGCGGCATGATTATTCATACGTGCTCTTGAGCGACTCTGATCCTTCTTGCTATACACAAATCGTGTAAATCCAATTCATTTAGTTTAACATACTTTTTAATGCTTTTATTTAAAAAATAATTTTCCACAGCTTTAAGCAAATTTATCAATTTCCACATGTCGTTGACACTTGCGAAGCCTTGTCCGCTTGTCTAGTGTAGCCCCCGCGTGCCTACACACCCGCGGGATTAAAACAAAAAAAAAAAAGAAGACAACATTCCCATAGTGCTGACTCGCATGTATTTTCTTTTCGTGTGTGCTATTTTCTTGTAGCTAAATTTAAATACCCATATTGTTTGTTGTTCTTGGGCCACAGTTGACGTCAATTGCTAGCTTTTCTTTCTTTTTAATTTTTCCAACAAAGCGGTTTCGCGGATATTTTTGCTTTTTAGCCGTTACACGTGCATACAGTTATTATTTAATTACTTACTTTCACGCAAGTGGAAGAGGAAAAAATATATATTTTTACAATAGCCGTATATGTATGTATATTCTTCCGTTGCTTACTAAGTGTGCAACGGCTGAATGCGTCTTCCGCCACCTTCCACAGTGCACGATTTTCGCTTGCCTTTGCATTACATTTAGCGCTCTGGCCTTTTCGCCCAACATTCAAAAGTCGTCAGCAGTTCGTCAAAACGACGAAGCCTTCAATTTTATTTAATTAGCAACATTTGCATTGAGCTAGCAAAAGTTATAGCAACTTTTTATTTGTATTGTTATTGTTATTGTTTCATGTGTTTATTGTCATTTTGTCATTCCCACAACAAACAACAATAAAAGCAACTGTCTACAATTTGAATGACCATCCAACCATGCAACCAATAAAATGGGAGCCTCTGCGCATCGCGTTAGCCGCCGCCTGTCGCAAGCATTGTTGCCATCGCTGCACTCAGTCGGGTTTATGCCATTCGCCACAGACAGTATGGCTCCTAGTGACACTAACATAAGCACAGAGTTACATTGTTGGCTGTATGTATGTACCATACATATACTTGTAAATTTGCCATCCGGTCGACCCTCCAGGCTGCATCAGGCGCACTTGCCATTGCATATTCATACATACATACAGGCTAGCAATCCGTCCCAAAGCGACGAAATGGCTGCGAAAGGTTAGTAAAATGTCTGTATGTTTGCCTGTTTGGCTGGATTGGTGTCTGCCACACGAAACGACGGCAGGTGACGGCAAGAAACGCGCGCTGGCAAAAAGTGACTCAATACGTTCTTACGCGTGTATTACTTCATCACGGCGGCAGACGGCGCACAAACTGCTGTTCACTTATATACATACATACATACATAGAGCGATAGTTTTTGAAAACTTTTGTTGGTATTTAATTTTTATTGCAGTTTTATATTTTAGGGGCTGTTGCGCGTTTTCCCTCCTTTTACTTATAACATTTTCCTGCTGCTGACTGAGTGCAGTCTGATATTTCTACGTTTCCATACATATGTACCCACTTAAGCATTTCCTCTGTCTGCAACACTTCTTAGTCGCCCTTTCACGAGTTGGAGTTTTCAACTTCCTTTTCACATTCATCAATCGCATACCTTCTGTTGCGATGACGCATCGACGCATGAAAGCGTAGCCCATCAGGCATCCCCTTAGCTGTTCAATCAACGATAACCACAAACGTCCTTCCTGCGTACAAACGAATTCACTTTGGTGACCAACTTTTTTCCGTTCACCTTGCCTCCCCCACTATTGTCCCCTCTTTCACAAGCAATGCTTTCCACATCCATTCACGCTTGCCCCTTACACCTTGTGGTGGGAGCAGCATACCCATTTCCTATTTGGTATTTGTTTACACACAATGATTAGTCATCTTCGGTCTGGCACGCTCACTCACTCGCTCACACACTTTTTTTCGCTCTCACGCAGCGAAATCAACCAGAGGGGTTGTTGCCTTTCTTCTGCTTTGCCGCTATGTTTGCTTTACAAGTTTGTTTCAATTTGTGTTTCCTCTGTTTGTTTGTTATTGCTGTACATGTAATTGTTGTTTTGTTCGCCACCATAAGATTCATCGTCTTACGTCACGTACACACTTTTGTCCTCGCCGACAATTGCGTTGGAGAGGCTTCCATGGGCATACATACATGGTAGTATTAACTGCCCGCGCCATAAGAGCAACTAGGCAACCCTGCAGGACAAATATGGGGTAACGTTATATGTAAATGTCTGATTCCAAATTGTATTCTTAAGGTAATTTCATTGCAATATTTGTTTTGATTATGGCAAAGAAAAAAACTCAGCACCGCATTAAAATTACTAGAAGTGCATTGAGGATGATGATGCCTTCAGCATCGTTCCAATGCGTTTCCATGGTGGTTTACACTATTTACCTTTTCGGTCTATATAAGGGCATAAGCTAACCTACCAGGAAGACCTAGAGAAAGTGAAATCGTAATTATAGAACACGTTACCACGAGAAGCGATTCCGCTTTTGCTGATTTTATATGTACATACATACATATGTACATTCATCTCATATTTGGTATGTATTTACGTACGTAAGTCAGACGGTGGTGGCATTATTTTTGTTCATCCTCACATTGGTGCTGATGTTGATGCTAATAATAATGAGGACCGCGTTAGCGAAGGCGATGGCATTGATGGTGACTCATCGCCGTGCTATGTGCACACATACATATATGCATACATCACCATCACCACCATCACCACCATCACCCCAATGCACCCCTTTCTTTTTACTTTATTTGTTTTATTCCTTTGTGGCCAACAACAAGCGCTTACCACCTTCGTCGCCTTCATTTGCCTTCGGCTGTCATCGATTTTGTTTATTTTCGCTTTATTGCGCCGCACACTGAAAAGCACGTCCGTTCGTCCATTTCCCTCTTTCCTCTTTCCCCCACCCTTACACCCCCGTCTTCTCGTTTTTGTTTATTTGTTTGTCTGCCTTGCGGCAAGCAGCCCCCAGCCCTGCTGCACTTCTACCACCACCCCCGCCATCAACAAGACTGGTAGGTAGTGTGCTTCGGGTTGCCTCTCGCTTCCTTAGATATTTTCTGTTGTTCTATTTTTAAGCGAATGCCGAGTATGTAGTAGCAATAGCATGACGGCGAACATTCTTTCCTAACTTTTACTGCTTCGCCCATAGGTACAGATTTTCCACGTATTTATAAATAAAACTAAACGAATATTATTTTTTGTACATACATACATATATTCCATCTTTTTGGCGGGACAACGACCGTGCAAAACTAAACTACCTTGAGGCTAAATTGTTGACACGCAGATATGTATGTATACGTGGTGATATTTTAGTAGTTTCCAGTCCACCGCGACTATTCTGTACCTTCGACCGGCCAGTTTTCTTAACAGCCTATTTGGTCGCCTTTCCAACGACTTGTTTGCTCTTTGCGATTTGCTTTTAGCATTTTGGCGTTATTTATTTAACTTGTTATTTTTTGGGTTTGTTTGGTGGTTTTACATAATCCTACGCCTGCGACCATTAGTGCCTCTAGCCATTAGTTCTTGTGGGGTGTTTCTCCTTAGTCAATTTGTCGACATACTATCGGGCTTAACTAGTTTTTTCATGTTACCTTTTCTACCTTCTAACCTTTTCTAATATGTACATTTGTTATGGTTTTTTTTTATTTTTTTCTATCATTTTCTATGCCAACTAAATTGGTCTTACTCAACTTGTATAGTTT